AGCTGTGCCACTGCCTGCGCCCCGGAGCGGCCTCCCCCCTCGGCACCGAGCAGAGGCACCGCAGCCGCCAAGGGCCAAGGGACGAGAGGAAGGATGGAGAGATGGAGGAGAAGTGGGATGGAGAGAGCAGCAGAAATGCTTAAGCAACAGAGTCCCAAGCCAGGAACAGCACCAAGAAACCCAGGCAGAGTATTTAGGAGGGGGAACAGGGTTTCGTTCCTTCCAGAGAGGAGAGGGAGGGCGAACGCAGACTGTCCTGGGAGGGAGTGATCCCTTGGCCTCTACAGTTATTTTAACACAGGGCTTAAAAGCAGTCAAGTGGTGGGGAAAGAGGGAGACAACGCAGGGCCATGTGGCCATTCCTGCACCCGCAGCACTGATTTTCCTGCCAGAAAAGTCTCCTTCCATGCCACGAGCACCAACACATGGCAGACACGGGGCGCCCAGGGGAAACAGCCCCCCAGAGCTGGGGCTGCACCAGGGTTGTGCTGTGCAGAGGTTTCCTCTTGTGCTGGGTTCCCTCCTGCCCATTCACCAGCCTGGGCTCTCTCATGAGCAAAGCTGGAAGGGGAAACACAGCACCGCGACTGTGTCAGACGTGGGATCTGCTCCGCCTCCATCCCTGTGTTACCAGCACAGGGATCAGGCTGGTGCCACCTCCACACGGCACATGGCCAAGGTGCCCCTGGGGACATGGGGTGGTTGCAGTGGGTGCCAGAGTCACACAAGTGCCCGTCAGGGAGGAACGGGCAGAGCCCGGCATCCAAGATCCGCAGGAGCCAGCAGGATCCGCTGCCGCGGGAGGGACACAGGAGCAGGGGCATCGCTCCTGTCCTCGCAGGGCAGCTGGGGCCTGCGGCCACCAGCGTGCAGCACAGGAGAAGACATAACAAGGTGAAAAACACTCCAAACACTCCCAGTTTGGCGGGGGAAAAGCACTGCAAGGCCTCACCAGCCCCGAGTATCTCCCAGAGGACATGTCAGAGTGTCTCAGCTCTCAGCTTTTAGGTGTCCACAGGAAGACTCAGAAGATAGACATGAACCCCAAGGGCCGAGCTGTACCGGGCCTCAGCAGCGCCCTCCTCCACACCAAACTCCCCCAGCTCGGGGGAAAAACACAACAAAGTCTCATCAGTGCTTGAGCACCCTGCGGGGACCAGCATACGCTCCGGGGCAGGAGGGAGATGCTCCCACCCAGCCCAGAGTCCTGGGAGCAGGGACATGGAAAAGCCAAACTGGACTAACCACTGCCTTGGGGTGGGCTTTTACCCTCCCCTCCTTACAGGTTCAACATGCTCTCAGGGTAATTAAATTAATGAGGGCTTCATTACTGCCAGCTCCCAGGCAGCAGTGTTTGAAGTTGCCCCTCTGCAGGGCAGAAGAGCAATTAATGCCCTGTGAGGCTGACGAGCTGCAGGCTGAGGCTGGGGTCCCCAGCGTGTCCCCGTCACCTCCCCGGTGCCAGCAGAGTGGGAGAGCTGCATGAGCAGCAATCTGGGAGCTCCATCCGCAGGGGGCCCCCAGCACCGTCCCCCAAAATTTGGGCCCGCACTCATTAAACAGCCCTCAAAGTAAAGCCAAGCAGCGCCGCTGGCCCACAGCAATATGCACGCAGGGGTACCAAGCATTCGCAGCAAGTGCACGTCCTAACAAAGAGCGCGATGTTTGCTCGGTGCTTTCATAGGACATCGAATGATTCAGCTTGAAGCTCATTGAATTGAACCCCTCGGACAGGGGCACCAAGGACGTCCCCGGTGGGGGCTCCCGGGAGGCACCGGCCGTGGCCGAACACAAGTGCCTGGCAGCGGCGGCGGAAGGGCCGGTCCTGGCAGCTGCCCAGCCCATTCGATAACCCCCGCGCTGCCGAAACAAGGGGCCGGGGCGCCGCGTTTCACCTGCGCAAATATCCCCAACGCCCCAGTTCCCGGGAAGCCTCCGTGTTTGCAGAGTCACGGGGCAGCCCTGCGCGTTCCGGACCATCGCGGCAGACCAAGCGTTTCCCGCCAGCGCTCA